GCCGCAGGTTTGAAGGTTGAAGGGGCGCCCGCCCTGGTGGGTCTGCAGGTGTTTGCCTTGGGGTCCTTGAAGAGCTTGAGGCAGGGGGAGCAGCGCAGGTCGCGGTGGGGGGGCCGCGGGCTGGGGGGGCGGTGCGAGCGCTGGTGCCGCAGGATGGAGGACAGGTAGAAGAAGCTCTTGCCGCAAAGCTCGCAGCGGTAAACCTTCTCGCCCAGGTGAACGCGGCGGTGCTCCAGGAGGTTGGAACGGTAACGGAAGGTCTTGCCGCAGGTTTGGCAACGCTGGGGGCGGGCGACGACGTGGAGGCGTTGGTGCTCGGCCAGGCTGGAGGACTGGGCGAAGCGCTTGTTGCAGAGGGCGCACTTGTAGGCGCGCTCGCCGGTGTGCACCACCTTGTGCTGCCGCAGGTACCAGGAGCGCAGGAAACCGCGGCCGCAGACGGCGCAGCGGTAAGGCCGTTCCTCGGTGTGGCAGCGTTGGTGCCGCATCAGCAGCGCCGCTTCCCAAAACCGCTTCCCGCAAACCGAACAACCGAAATGGCGTTTCTGCAGGTGCCGGCGCCGGTGCAGCAGCAGGTCGTAGGCGCCGGCGAAGCTCTGCCCGCAGACGCCGCAGGCCAGCGTCCGCCGCACCAGGTGGACGTACTTGTGGGTCACCAGCCCCAGGAAATGCTTGAAGCTCTGCCCGCAGGTGCCGCAGGTGAAACGCTCGCCGCTCGGCACTACCGGGTGCTCCTCGGGCAGCTGCAGCCCGCTCTCGGCCGGCGGGCCCCCGGCAGCCGCTCGGGGGCGGCTTGGTGAACCAGCTTGTGCCACATCAGGTTCTCGATGAAGCCGAAAGCTTTGCCGCAGGCGTCGCAGCCGTAGGGTTTCTCCCCGGCGTGGGCTTCCTTGTGGTTGACGGCGCGGAAGAGGTCGGGGAAACGCTCGCCGCATTCGCCGCAGCTGTAGCTCTCGCGCCCCGGGGGGGGGGGCCCCCGCCCCCCCCGCCCCGCAGGGCAACGGCAGCCGGTGGATCTGCTTGTGCCGGGTCAGGCTCTGGGGGTAGCCGAAGGCTTTGCCGCAGAGCTCGCACTTGTAGGGCCGCTCGCGGGTGTGCACCACGTGGTGCTTGCTGAGGTGGAAGGACTCGCGGAACCGCTTGCCGCAGACGGCACACTGGTAAGGCTTCTCCCCGGTGTGGATCC